TTCCGCTGCTGAAAGCAGGTATCTGGGCTTTGTTTAGCTTCTATAATTGAAACACTGTTGCAGCTCCAGCTCTGAGGCCCGGCTGGCTGAAAGCAGGTTTCTGGGGTTTGTTTAGCTTCTATAATTGCAACATAATTGCTTCAAGTGCAGCTCAGAGGCCCGTAGCGGCAGGCGGGGAACCTTGGCTTCCTCCATCACTGGAGCAAGCAAGCCTCATGTTCGTTTCAGCTGCCTGGCTGCCGGCCGCCATCTTGGTTGGCATATCGCCCTGATTAGCCAATGGGAAGGGTAGCGAAGTTACGGTTAATTACCATGTTTGTCTATTATTAGATAGGACTAGAGGGGTGTCCCTCAGCCCAGCCTGCACCCTCTCCAATCTGGGACCCCCTTGAGAGATGTTTGACTGCCTATGGGATCGGGCCTATACCAGCAGTCGGACATCCCTCTCACAATCCGGGACTGCTGGCTCCCATCTGCTTGCCTGCCTGCCTGCTTGATTGCCCCTAACCGCTTCTGCCTGCCAGCCTGATCACCCCTAACCACTCCCCTGCCAGCCTGATCGATGCCTAACTGCTCCCCTGATGGCCCGATAGCCCCCAACTGCCCTCCCCTGCAGGCCTGGTTGCCCCCAACTGCCCTTCCCTGATGGCCTGGTCGCCCCCAACTGCCCTCCCCTGCTGGCCTGATCGCCCACAACTGCCCTCCCTACTGGCCATCTTGTGGTGGCCATCTTTGATGACATGGGGGCAGCCATCTTGTGTGTTGGAGTGATGGTCAATTTGCATATTACTCTTTTATTAGATAGGATGCTCCAATGAGCATCTGGGTGCAGATATCTCTTTGAGGTAGTGATTTTGTTTCTTTTGAATATATACTCAGAAGTGGGATTAGTGGATCATAGGGTAGTTCCATTATAATTTTTTAGGAACCTCCATACTATTTCCATTAGTGGCTGGAGTTAGTGGATTTCTTTACTGCCAGACTTCTTTGAACCTTTATTGCTAATGTGTATGGTGAGTTTCTGAGAGTGGAATATGCTTCCCATATGTACTTGGTTCTCTGAACCCTTTTTTTCACAGTGCATTGTGAGGGACCAGTGCTTCTTACACTTTGGGGAATGTAGAAATAATCCTTCTCTTTGTTTCTTTGTTTTTCAAAGAAACCAAAATTTTTCTTATTATAACTTTGGACCTGGAATTCAGTAAGCTTCCATTTAAGTGGTAGTCTATTCTTCCTACCTCTCTGTCAAAACTCATCAGAACTTCATCAGAATTCATTTCCTAATGACAAATAGGCTCTTGTGAGGTGTTGCGTGTTTTTTTAAGTATTTAAGTTCTGGTGGACTCTGAGTATAATAAAAGGGCTGTTCTTTCCAAGCCGGTGTGGTTCAGTGGTTGAGCATCTACCCATGAACTAGGAAGTCACAGTTGGATTCCTGGTCAGGGCACATGCCTGGGTTGCATGCTTGATCCCAGTAGGGGGTGTGCAGGAGGTAGCCAATCGATGATTTCATCATTGATGTTTCTATCACTCTCTCTCTTCTCTTGAAATAAATAAAAACGCATTTTTTAAAAAGGGCTGATTTTTTTATGCAGTTGTTGGCCGCAGGGTATTAGACTCCACGGCCAAATGCAAACATGTGCCAAGGAAGGAAGAAGGATGCTGATGTTCAGATTCAGCATGCTTTAGCATGATGCTATGCTATAGCTCAGTCCTATGTTACTACCAGCCCTGTACCTCCTCATGCAAGTTGTTACTTGCCAATCTCTTTGAATGCCCAGATCTCAATTTCATTCACTGTCCTGGATGATCTTTCTAAGCGTGTTTGCTGAGCCACATTTTAAGAGACCAATCCCCCCAACCCCAAATGAAAACAACTTCCCTGGGGAATATTTATAGCAACCTCTCTCCTTCCCCACCCCAGGAATTGGATGAATTTCAGGCATACCCTGTTGAAATAGTGCCAGGAAGCATCTACCTGGGAGATTTCAGGCAAGCCTGCGATCCTAAAATTCAGAAGGATTTGAAAATCAAAGCACATGTCAATGTCTCCATGGAGATAGGACCATTGTAAGTAGCAATACTATTGATTTTTTAAATATTAAGTATCATTTGTTTATATAAGATTCCTGGTGACATGCATTTAGAAAGTTGAAAGGTCTCTTAGAAGACAGCATATACTGGAGTAGGGTCTTCACTTTTAACTTCACCTGTTCCTGGCGTATAGTCTGTTTCCTAGCTTCGCTGTGGCATCCTTTGCCCCTAACCAAGACCCCATACTTCCTTCAAATCTCACCAAAAGTAAAACTTTCCTGGTTTTTAACATTGTGGTCAAAATATCCTATTCTACCCTGCTATGCCATCTCAGGCCCTCTGAGAAATAATTCCTATCTTAGTTCATTCAGGCTGCTATAACGGAATACCATTGACTGGTGGCTTATAAAACACAGAAATTTATTATCATGGTGTGGAGACTGGGATATCGAAGATCAGTGCAGCAGGGATTTGCTGTCTAGTGAGAGCCTGCCTTCTGGTTCATAGACAGCCATATTTCCACTGTGTCCTCACATGGTAGAAGGGGCAAGAGAACTCTCTGGGGCCTCCCATTCATGAGGCTCCAAGCTCAGGGTCAGATTTACAACAACAAATAAACGGACAAAACATCTAAAACAATGTTTTTCAGACAGTGGTTAATTGCACAGGACAATGATTCCAGAATGAATGGAAAAAAACAAAGTGAGCCCCACAATCAGTTTAGCTTATTTCTTGGAGATTGCTAGAGCCCTACAATTAATTTAGCTTACTTCTTGGAGATTGTTTGAAGGGGACCAAAACAGATCTTCTCATTCTTTTTCTTTCTTTGTTTTTTATTGTTATTCTTCACCCGAGGATATTTTTCCATTGATTTTTAGAGAGAGTGGAAGAGAGAGGTTAAGACAGAGAGAGAAACATTGATGTGAAAGAAACACATCAGTTGGTTGCCTCTGATCAGGGTCCGGGCCCTCACTCTAACCACTGAGAAACACTGGTCAGGGCCTGTCATTCTTTTTGAATTGAGGGTATAGAGTCAAGAATCCAGAGAGGTCAAGTTGGCTAGAATTCTCAAGAGAGACCTGCATGATAAATAGAAGGCTGAATACAAAGAAAGGGCTCTGGACATCTGCAGAGAGCCCCCCTGTGTCTTCAGCTGAGTACATATAAGCACATGCATGTGAGGAAATGACTCAAGGCTGGGAGAAAAAACAGTGGAAATTAATGGACAGCACAATCCTCAGAGATGATGTGGGGCCAGGAGTCATTTGTATTTCAAGTCAGAGTAGACAAAACTCATAATATACAGGGCATCAAATAGAGTACTGAGAAGAGTATTATCTCAGTAATGAGGAAAACCTAGCCCCAAATTAGGGATGAAAAATCCAGTGCCAGAAATGAAAAATACTCTAGATCAGTGGTTCTCAACCTTCTGGCCCTTTAAATACAGTTCCTCATGTTGTGACCCAACCATAAAACTATTTTCGTTGCTACTTCATAACTGTAATGTTGCTACTTTTATGAATCGTAATGTAAATATCTGATATGCAGGATGGGTCTTAGGCGACCCCTGTGAAAGAGTCGTTCGACCGCCAAAGGGGTCGCGACCCACAGGTTGAGAACTGCTGCTCTAGATGAAATTAATAGCAAATTAGACACTACAGAAAAAAAGATTGGTGAATTTGAAGATATAGCAATAGAAAGTATCCAAAATAAAACATAGAGAAGAAAAAGACAAATAAAAAAGAACAGAACTGCCCTAGCTGGTTTGGCTCAATGGATAGAGCCGTCGACCTGTGGACTGAAGGGTCCCAGGTTCGATTCCGGCCAAGGTCATATGCCTGGGTTGCTGGCCCAATCCCCAGTGGAGGGCATTCAGAAGGCAGCCAATCAATGATTCTCTCTCATCATTGATGTTTCTCTCGCTCTTCTCCCTTTCTCTCTGAAATAAATAAAATAATTAAAAAAAAGAACAGAACTTCAGTGAGATTAACATAGTTTCAAGTGGCCTACTACCATATGTGTGATTGGAATTTCCAAAGGAGAGGAAAGTGGGGAGATATTTGAAGAAATAATGGCCAAAATTTTTTCCAAGTTTGATTTAAAAAAACAAAACACCTATAAATTCACAGACCCAAGCATTTCAACAGAAAGAAAACCACAGTAGGCACATCCTCTCAAATTGGTTAATATCAATGAAAAAGATAAAACCTTAAAAGTAGCTAGATAAAAAAGATGTATTACATACCAAGAAATAAAGATAAAGATGGTAGCAGACTTCATATTAGAAACAAAGAAATTGAGAAAACTAAAGTATTAAATGGAAAATGTGAACCTAGAAATATAATCAGTAAAAAATATCTCTCAAATATGAAGAGAAAATACTTTTTCCAGGCATGCAAAAGTTGAAAAAATTAATCAACAAATAGATGTACACTACAAAAAATATTACAGGGAGTCTTTTAGGTAAAAGAAAAACAATACCAGATGGCAATCTGAATATATACAAAAAGAATCAAGATCACCAGAAATGATCCTATATAATAAAAGCCTAATATGCAAATCAACCAAATGGTGGAACAACTGGTGGAACAACCCCTCACTATGACACGCACTGACCACCAGGGGGAAGACACTCAATGCAGGAGCTGCCCCCAGCCTGCAGGCCCCAGGCCAGCCAAGGTGGATGCTAGTGCCCACCCCGCCATTGTCCCACAGATTGGCCCTGATTATTGGCCAGGCCTAGGGACTCTACCTGTACACGAATTTCATGCACCAGCCCTCTAGTAATTATATAAAATACTTTCCCCTTGTTTGTAAATCTTTTCAAAGCATATTATTTAAAGACAAAATAACAACAATACATTTTGTGTTTATAGCATAGGTAGAAGTAATATGTATGCCCACAATTTACTAAGGCAGGAAGAGGGAAAATAGAACTATATACTTGTAAGGTTCTTACTCTGTTTACATGAAGTGGTATGTTAACTGAAGGTAGACTACAGTAAGTTAAAGATGCATTCTATACACTCTAAAGCAACCACCAAAAAATAGAACAAAACAAAAATAAAAGAGATATGATTAGTAAGATAACAAAAGATAAATGGAGTCATATAAAAATTCAGTAATCATACTAAGTGCAAATGGTCTAAATATTTTAATTAAAAGGCAGAGGTTGTAGGCTGTCTACAATATACTTTAGCCCTGGTTGATTTAGCTCAGTGGATAGAGCATTGGCCTGTGGACTAAAGGGTTCTGGGTTCGATTCTGATCAAGGGCACATACCTAAGTTGCAGGCATGATCCCTGGGCCTGGTTGGGGCGCATGCAGGAGACAACCAATCAATGTGTGTCTCTCACATCGATGTTTCTCTCAGTCTCTCCCCCTCCCTTCCATTCTCTCTTTAAAAAGTCAATAGAAAAATATCCTCAGGTGAGGATTAACAACAACAACAAAAAAATCTATTGTAAATATAAAGAATCAACTAATTAAGTATTCGTCTCAAGAAATTCCCCAAGGAATAGTAAACTAATCCCAAATAAAGAAGAAGGAAGGAATAATAAAAGAAGATAATTGAACTAGAAACAATAAAATAGAGATGATCAAGAAAGTCAAAATAGTTTTTTTAAAAAAAACTAATAAATTTGATAAACTCTTGGCAAAAAAGAGAAAAGGCACAAATAACCATTTGTAAAAGGGGACTCTACATATCCTACAGATATTTAACAGGTCTTAGGAGGATATTAGGAAAACTTTACTGTGATAAACAAGAAAACTTAGATGAAATGAACATTAAAAAATACAGTATCAAAACTGACAGCAGACAAAATAGAAAATTTGATTAGTATTAATAACTAATAAAAATTTTCTCATAGAGAAAACTTTAGTGATAAATTTTACCTAATAGTTAAGGAGGAAATAAAGCCAATATTAAATTATTTTATATAATAAAGATGAGGAATAATTTTCAATTTGTTTCATGAGACCAACATAGCTCTGATTTTATAACTTGACAGACATTATAATACAGAAAAATTATAGACTAATTTTCTTCATGAACATAGATGTAAAAATCCTAAACAAAATCTTAGCACATTACATACATTAATATCCTTATAAAAAGGATAATACATAATGACTAAATTGAGTTTATTCCAAAGATGTTAATTTACCATATCAATAAATAGAGCAAAAATCAGGATTATCTCAACAGCTTCAGTGAAAGCATTTGATAATATTCACTATACATTCATGACTTAAAAAAAACTCTTAGCAAACTGGGAATAGAAGGCAAACTTCTTTGCTCTAATAAAATAACTACAAAAATCTCTGCAACAAACATCACACTTAATGGTGAAATGTTGAAAGTTTTCCTTCTGAGTCTGGGAACAAGACAAAAATGCCACTATCACCACTCCTATTTAACATTGTACTGGAGGTCCTAGTTGGTGAAATATGGCAAGAAAAATAAAATATGAATCAAAAGGGAAAAAACTTTCATTATTCACAGACAATATAATTGTATACACAGAAAAAATCCAAAACAACCTGCAGATCAATCAAGCCCCGCTGGGTGGGGGGCATGGCCTCAGGTCCCCTGGCCTGGCCTCAGGTCCCCCCGCCCAGTGCAGGGGCAGGGGGCACAGCCTCAGGTCCCCTGGCCCTGGCGCAAGGGAGCGAGGGCGCGGTGACCATTGTATATTAGCTCTTTATTCTCTATTATATAGGATTATCTGAATAAACAGAGGATGTACTGTTGTTATGGATTAGAAGAATTAATTTGTAAAGATAATTGATTCTTGCCCAAATGATCTGTCAGTTCAGGGTAATGCCAGTAGAATCCAACATGTTTGTGGAAATTGATACAGTAATCCTAAAATTTATAAATTTTATGGAAATGCAAAGGGCAAAAATAGCTGAATATTTGAAGAACAACAAATGAGAAAATTTACTTGACTAAATATTAAGACTTAAAAACCACAGCAAGTAAGGATGGAGATATTGGTGCAGGATAGAAAAATAAACTAGTGGAGCAGAATAGAGTTCAAACAGACCCATGCATATATGAACAGTTGATATTTTTAAAAATTTATTTTTGTTAATCCTCACCCAAGGATATTTTTTCTATTGATTTTTAGAGAGAGTGGGAGGGAGGTCCTAGCTGGTTTGGCTCAGTGAATAGAGCATTGTACTGCGGACTGAAGGGTCCCGGGTTCGATTCTGGTCAAGAGCACATGCCCAGTTTGTGGGCTAGATCCCCAGTGTGGGGCATGCAGGAGGCAGCCGTTCAGTGATTCTCTCTCATCATTGATGTTTGTCTCTCTCTCTCTTCTCCCTTCCTCTCTGAAATCAATAAAAATGTATTTTAAAGAGAGAGAGTGAGAGAGAGAGAGAGAGAGAGAGAGAGAAACATTGATGTGAGAGAGACACATCGACCAGTTGCTTCCTGCATGCACCCTGTCCAGGGCCGGAATTGAACTGGTGACTGTTTAGTCCGTGGACGACGCTCTAACCACTGAACAAACAGGCTGAGACTGGGCACTTGAATTTTGACAAGGATTTTCTTCTATATTTTTTTCTAAAAGTTCATGGATTTAACCTTCACATGTTTTTATTTTGAAATAATTTTTGTGTATGGTGCCAGAAATGGAACATTTGTTGTTTTGCATGTGGAGATAATATAATCATTTGTTGAAAATATGATCCTTTTCCTGTTGAATTGCTTTGATACCTTTATTGAAAATCCTTGTCAAGATTAAAAATTCTGGATTATTTTTCATTGGTATATGTTTCTTTCTTTTTTTTTTTTCAGAGAGAAAGGGAGAGGGATAGAGAGATAGAAACATCAATGATGAGAGAGAATCATTGATTGACTGCCTCCTGTACGCCCCACACTGGGGATTGATTACATACATGCAACCAAACCATGTGCCCTGACTGGGAATTGAACCATGACCTCCTGGTTCATAAGTAGATGCTCAACCACTGAGCCGGGTGGTATATGTTTTTCTTTACAACAGTTCTGCACTGCTGATTACTGTAGTTTTATAATAAATCTTGAAATCAAGTAGTGTAGGTCCTCTAATCTTGTTCCTTTTCAAAGTTGTTTTCTTTGCATTTCCCTATAAATTTCATAATCAGCTTGTCAGTTTCTACAAAGAAGCTTGCTAGAATTTTGATTGGGATTGAACTGACATCTTAACAGTGTTGAATCTCTTGATCCATGAGCATGGTCTATTTCTCCATTTACTTTGTGCTTTAACTTCTCTCAGAAATATTTTATCGTTTTCAGTGTATAGTTCTTGCACATTTTGTGTCAAGATTTCATCCTAAGCATTTGAAGTTTTTTATGTGATTATAAGTGATATTTTAAGATTTTCAGTATCTGATTATTTCTTGCTAGTACATAGAAATCCAATTGATTTTTAAAAAATATATTTTTATTGATTTCAGAGAGGAAGGGAGAGGGAGAGAGATAGAAACATCAATGATGAGAGAGAATCATTGATCGGCTGCCTCCTGCATGCCCCACTGGGGATTGAACCCACAACCAAGGCATATGCCCTTGACCTGAATCAAACCTGTGATCCTTCAGTCCGCAGGCCGACACTCTATCCACTGAGCCACGCCGGCTAGTGCTCCAATTGATTTTTATATATTAGCCATGTATTCTTCAACCTTCTCCACCCAGATGCCATCTCCACTGTAAACTCTCCCCAACTCCCTTGACTCCTCCCTATTCCTCCTCTCACATATCATGTGTAGGTCTTTTAAAAATACTTTATTGTTGACACTATTGCAAATAGCCCCCATTTCATGTGCAGGTCTTTATCCTAGCATCTAACTAATTGGAGTGGTGCCATTTGTTTATGTGTCTGCCTCCCCCATCAGACTGGAAGCTCCTTGAAGCTGGGAGGGGCCCTATTTGATATTTGTGTCCACTAGGGTCCAGCCTAAGGTCTGGCACACAATAGGCATTGAGTGAGTGTCTGTGAGGGAAGAATGGTTGGGTGGGCATGGGTTGGTGGGTGGAGAGGGAGGGAGGGAGAGAGGGATGGATGGAGAGGGAAAGATGGATGGATGGATGGATGGATGGATGGATGGATGGATGGATGGATGGATGGTTCGTTGTGCTTGTATTTGTCACAGCAAGTGCTCATACAGAAATTAAACCAGCCTATTTTTGTTTCTGAATCTACTGAACTTTCTGCATGCCACAGTGGTCTGCATACTGAATGTCACCAGTAGGCCATAGTCTTCATAAACAACGTTATAAAGTGCTTACAGCATTTAGGGCATAGGGCCAGGCTCCTTGCAGGCACACTCTCATTAAGCATGTCACACACCTCATCTCTCCTCCACCATGTTCATAAAACTCTAGCCACTCTGACCTCCCTGTTGTTTCTCAAATACACTAAACATACTGTCTATCAGTGGTTTTGAACTTCCATTCTCCTATACCTGGAACACACTTTCCTCAGATAACTGCCTGGCTTGTTCTCTCACCTCCTTTAAGCCTCTGCTCAAGTGTCACCTCCTCAGTAAAGCCTTCCCTGACCACCCTATCTCAAACAGCAACCCCGCTATTCTCTATCCCTCTTACCTTATTTTCTCCATTTAACATAGCAGGCTCATTCTCCAAAATCATGACATATTTCCTCCCATCCTCATTTTATTATTTGTAGCATATTCTAGGAAAGTACCATGTTTGGTTAATAATAATAATGCCATATTTACTGAGCACTTACTATTGCCAAGCAGATTGCTAAATGCTTTATATCAGTGATGGCGAACCTATGATGGCGTGTGAGAGGTGACACGCGAACTCATTGTTTTGGTTGATTTTTCTTTGTTAAATGGCATTTAAATATATAAAATAAATATCAAAAATATAAGTCTTTGTTTTGCTATGGTTGTAAATATTAAAAAATTTCTATATGTGACAGGGCACCAGAGTTAAGTTAGGGTTTTTCAAAATGCTGACATGCCGAGCTCAAAAGGTTCGCCATCACTGCTTTATATAGATTAATTAACTTAATCCATACTCCACTCCTATGAGGTAGGTGCTATTTTTCTGACAGGGGTTCAGGTCCTTGCCCACATTTCCCTGATCTAGCTTAGCATCCCTACCCTATGGTCCTGCTGCTATGAACAAGGGACACCACAGTGGGACTGTGTGTGAGTCTGCCCAATTACTTGTGCTTTTCTTCTGTTTAGTTTTGTAGGTGACGCTGACAAGCTTCTGCACATCCAGATAGAAGACTCCCCGGAAGCCTTCATTTTCCCCTTTCTGCGCCACCTCTGTCACTTCATTGGTAGGGAGCATTCTCTAACAAGGCAGCAACTGGCCTATGTCCAGGGGACACAGGGACTGTGGCACCTCGTCCACATGCCTATTCCTGATTGGGACTCTCAGTGCTCAGGAGAGAAAGGGCAGCACATGCCCAACTAGGTGTGGACAACCCCAAGACAAGCGTGCTTCTCCAGGGCCATCAGCAATACGCACAGGCCCGCGTTTACCTCCGGGGCAGTAGGGCCAAATAAGAGCTCCAGACTGGATCGAATACCCTATGTTGTGGCCTTGGCTGGACTGGTAGGCCCTTTTGGGCCTGGCTTCACTGAAATGAGGGTGTGGCCCCACCATGAGTGCATATGTTCATGGAGACCTGCTCTGGGCTGTGCTCTGGTGACTCAGAGGTGACTTGTTCCTGCCCTTTTGTCTGGTTAGCGAGATGAGGTGGAAGGAAGGCTCCAGAGCTTCTGACTTCCCTGATTTTCATTGTGTATGCCCAGTGCCCCTCTGTCCTCTCACCACACACAGCAGTGCCCAACAGTGGCTTACCTCATTGAAGGCAGATTTTTCAGTCATTCCCCAGGCTCAGGATTGCCCTAGTTGAGTAAGATACTTGGAGTGAGTGAGGTTGAGTCAGGTCAGAGGCCCCTCGCCGGGACTACCTACGTGGCACCAACTCAGCCCCCAGCCTGAGTCGCTGCACAGGGGGGCAGAGGATGGTATTTTGGCTCAAACATCTCTTATTTTCACAGGATGTTGCAACTATCACTTAAGTAGTAGCTGAGACAGACTTGCCACATGTCCCATGGGATGGTGGAGCTCTATGGCACAAAGAGGCCCCCTCTCCAGCCCTGACTTACTGGGTGGCCGTGGGCCAGTCCTTAACTGCTTGGTGCCTCAGTTTCCTTATTTGTATGATGAGTCAGTTGGCCTTAATCATCTCTGAGTCCTGCTCCAGCACAGGAATGGTTATCTTCAGTTCTTGGGGGTTACCAAACCAGCCTAGGATGACAGCTTAGATTTCCTCACCATCCCTCACTGGGCAAGACTCACACACAGACTCAGTGTCATTTTAGGTATGCTTACAGCTGACATTTCTGTGCCAGGCACTGGGCTAAGCACAGCACAAAACTTTATGAGGTAGGCAGAATACTATTATCCCATTTTCCAGATGAGGAAACTGTAGCTAAGAGTAACATGCCCAAGCCCCACAATAGTGAGTGGCAGAGCCAGGCTTCACACCAGCAACACTGTCTCCGTCAGTACCATGTGCCCTTGGGGGGACGATCCTCTCATTCCTACCTAAGGAGGCCAACTGGTAGCAGACCTTCCTGGTCTGAAAGCCTGGAGAGCCAAGAAAAGGCCTTTGCATGATAATGCTGAATGCCCAGGTGTGATTCTCTTGAATTGCCAGCTAGATCTGAGAATCCCCATTTACCAGGTGACAAAACAGTGGCCTAGTGATGTCATGTGACTTACCTAGGACATGGTGTACTGGCTCTGAATCCACTCTTGGACCCACTAAGGCTAGTCATCTTACATCAACTCAGGTCTACAGGGAAGGGGCCTTTCCCGCCCCCCCCCCCAAACCTTCCTTCCTCTTGCAGATGTCCACCTTGAACTTGGCAATGTCATCCTGGTATTTTCCACCCTGGGCATCAGTCGCAGCTGCGGGGCCATCTTGGCCTACCTCATGCACCGGAACGAGCAGACCTTGAAGGTATGCATTCCCTGGTCTAGGTTCTAACCATAGCCTCCATGAGGTGGGGTCTGAGCTGCACCTGGGAGAAATGGTCCCTGGCACTGCCTCAGGACTCTAATTGGGGGATGAGAAGGAGAAGGGTCAGGGAGGGGCGCTCCAAGTCCAGGGCTTTACCTAGCACACCACACTCAAAGGCAAGGACCGACTATCTGTGCTGGAGGTCTGAGGTTGGGCACATGGAGCAGGCCCAGGGACTCAGACTGCAAGGCTGCAGCTGGCAGTACCTTCTACATGTCCCCTACTGCCATTAGTCTGTCTATTAGGGTTTGTTCATGGTACTTCAAGAGAGGTGCATTGTTGTTGCTGCTTGGAGTCATAGAATTGCAGTGCTGGCAGGGCTTCAGCAGGCATCCACTCCAACAATTATTTTATCCTTGAGGGGAGCAGAGTCCAGAGAGGGGAAGGAAGTAGGGACCCATCACAACAAACCCCGTGGGAACTCAGGGCTCCCGACTCCCAGGGCATTACTTTCCCACTGCCCACTGCCCTAGGAGATCGCAGGCCTATCCCGAGGGGAGGGCGAGCCTCGTTTGGCACAGCTTGTACTTGATTTCAGAGGGCATGGATAGGACCTGACAAGCTCCCACATTTGTCCAGGAATGTGCTTGGAGGGACAAAGAATGATCGTGGTCAGAGCCCATTGCCAGTGGTTCTGGCTATTGACCCAGTGTGCTCTTTGCAGGTGCAATTACAGGCAGAAAGAGTCTTGGATAGCCAGCAATCCCACTTCTAGATATACACCCAAAAGAAGTGAAAGCAGGGACTCAAAGAGATGTTTGTACACCCATATTCATAGCAGCATTATTCACAATAGACAAAAGGTGGAAGCAAACCAAGAGTTTATTGACAGATGAATGGATAAATAAAATGTGGCCTATTTATATAATGGAATATTATTCAGCCTTAAAAGGGCAGAAAACTCTGACATGCTGCAACATTGAGGACATTATCCTAAGTGAAATAAGCCAGTCATAGAAGACCAAATACTGTATGATTCCACTTATATGAAATAGAGAAGTCAGGTTCATAGAGCCAGAAAGCAGAACAGTGGATGTTGTTTAATGGGCATGGAGTTTTAGTTTGGAAAGATGAAAAAGTAGAGATATATGCACAATATAGTGACTGTACTTAATGCCATTGAATTGTATGTCTAAAAATTATTAAAATGGTAAATTTCATGTTATGTGTATTTTACCACAATTAAAAAAAGAAGAGTCTGAATGCAAAATCAGAGGTCCTGGAGTGAGAGGCCAAGATGCCTGCTCTCTCACCCCATCAAAGGTGAATTGTCGGGCGCACTCACACTGGGGTCACTGCCTGCTTGCGGATCACTTTGGTGTGTGCTGGGGCGGGGGGATGTTGCTAATAATTCTGGGAAAGGAGGCCTGTGTGGTTGCACCAGTAGAGATGCCTCTCCAGCCCTCTTCCCAGCAATGGGCTCTTTCCTCTGAGGGGCCACGTCTTCAATGCCCTTTTGAGCTGGTAGGGGAGGAGACAAAGAGCTGGCAGAAGGCAGGCCAAGCTCACCTACCTGAAGGGGGCTTGGGAGTTCTAGGACTTGAACTCCCTTGGAGTTTGAATGGTGCCAGTCTGTGAATTTCAGCAAGCCCTGCCCTGCTGTGGTCCCTGGTGTCTTCATTGTTCATAGGGAAGCTTGGGCACAGAAGGTCTTTGGAGCCTTCCAACTTTGACATTTAATGATATGTCCTAACCCTGACAAGCAAATCACAGGCCTCTCTCTGGCCACATTAAAAGCAGGTGTTCCAGAGCCAGGTGGGGTGAAAGCAAAGAGAGGAGTCCCCTCATCCACTTGGCTCCTCTAAGTTCTCCAGCAGCGAGGACCAGGCCCCCACAGTAATGTGGCACATGCAGGCCTGCACCTGATCTTTACTGCAGGGAGATGCACAGCTCCAGCAATGAAGGTAAGGGATAGCTGGGCACAGGTGTTCTGGTCAGTGGGTAGACAGGCACTTGGGCACCTGAGACTTAAACAATTCTGGTCTCAGGAGACACTCAGGTGCTCCCTTCCGGGAGCAGCAATTTTCATCTCATCTGCAGAGAAGTCCTGATATGGGACACTCTGCAGAGATGCCATCTAGATAACTCTTGGCCAAAAAAGCACAGCTCCTGGAACTATGGGTGGAAGCACTGCTGCTGTGACCTGGCTATGTCCTCTCCAGACTCGGTGAGTCCTGTGTAGTTGTTAGCTTCTCCTGCTACCAATCAAGCACCCTGGATCACTGACACAGGTGAACCCGAGTTCAGCTCTGCGGCTGCCTGGGATCTGGCAGGGACATACCTGCCTTCCATTGTCTGTGTGGTCTTGGGGATGGTCCTCAGTACACTGGGGAAGCTGGGCCCTTGGCTGCTTCAGCTCAGCTGTGATAGTCAGAACCCACAGGACTGGCAAGAAGAATGTAGGTCACTGTCCTGCAACATACTGCTTCCTGGGCTTGTAGTCCCAGCTCAGCTCCTCAGGGCACCAAGGACAAGAGTCAGAAGTCACAGAATGAGCTGGGAAGAATCTAGCACCAGAGCCTCTCCTGCCTGTCCTGGGCTTTCAAAGCTTTGGTAGAAGGTTGTGTGGGACCCCAGAGCTAGAAAGCCTTTAAGAAAGCAATTTCCTTTTGAATTGCTGGGAGTAGCTTTGTCCCTTAAGATCTTCAGAGAAAAACAAAAACTAACTCCTGAGGCACTGTAATAGCTTACATTGGCAGAGTCGTTCCACATGCAAGGCTGTTTTAAGTGCTTTATGTGTAATGAAAACACAGTGACCCCACAGCCTGTTATCCCATTTTGCAGGAGGCATATAGAGGCTGGGTAATTTGCCTGAGTCCTTACAGCTATAAGTGGCAGAGCCAGATGGCTCGGATGGAGAATCTGGGCTGTTTTTTAAAAATCCTCCCTGAGGATATCTTTTTATTGATTTTTAGAGAGAGAGGAAGAGAGAGAGAGATTAAAATATTGGTACACACCCCAACTGGGGATCAAACCCAAAACCTAGCTATGTGCCCTGATCCGGAATTGAACCTGCAACCTTTTTGTGTATGAGCAATGCTCCAACCAACTGAGCTTCTGGGCCAGGGCAAGAATCTGGGCTTTTAACAAGCCCCTATGGCGGCAGGGAGAGCACTTGCCTTGCAGTCTAAAGAATGGGGCACTGCCAGGTCAGTGTGGCTTAGTCGTTGAGCATTGACCCATGAACCAAGAGGTCCCGGTTCAGTTTCCAGTCAGGGCACATGCCTGGGTTGTGGGCTCAGTCCCCAGTAGAGGGTGTCCAGGAGGCAGCAGATTGATGATTCTCATCATTGATGTTTCTATCTCTCTCTATCCCTTTTCCTTTCTCTCTGAAATCAATAAATATATATAAAAAAAGAATGGGGTACTGCTCCTTATCAAGGGTGACCTGGGCATGTCCCTTCACCTTTCTGTCCCCTCGGTAGACAGAATAAGGCCTGTTTTTCCAGCTTGCTGCATTTGCTGTGAGTCCCAGCAGATACATTGTGGGCTGGAAATGGAGTGTGTGGATGGGTATGGGGTGCTATGGTTATGGTTGGTTCTCAAGGGCCTGTTCTGACCTGGTCAGGACTTAGAAATCTTATAACTGCACAGCTTTGCCCCTGGTATCACTGTGTTTTATTTATTTTAAATCGTGACAACACACAGATAACACAAAATTTACCACTTTAACTTTTTCAAGTGTAAAGTTCAGTAGTGTTAAGCATATTCACATTGTTTTGCAACAGATTTCCAGAACATTTTCATCTTGCAAAACTGAAACTCTATACCCATTAAACAATAATTCCCCATTCCCCTTCTCCCCCAGCCCCTGGCAACTACCATTCTTCTTTGTCTCTATGATTTTGACTATTCTAGATACCCCACATAAATGGGATCAATGTTTGTCCTTTTGCGACTGGCTTGTTTCACTTAGTATAATGTCTTCAGAGTTCATCTATGTTGTAGTATGTGTCGGAATTTCCTTTTTTTTAAAAGATTGAAATAATATTGCATGGTATGGAGAATTCACTAGTGAACCTATCTGGGCCTGGTGCTTTCTGTTTTCAAAGGTTACTTTTTATTGATTCAACTTCTTTACTAGATACATAGGGCTATTCAGATTGTATGAGTTTTGTCAGATTGTGTCTTTCAAGGAGTTGGTCCATTTCATCTAGACTATATGCGGGCATAGAGTTGTTCATAGTATTCTTTTATTATCCTTTTCATGTCATTGGGATCTGTATTGATTCCTTTTTATTTCTGATATTAGTGATTTGTGTCTTCTCTCATCTTTTCTTTGTTAGGCTGGTTAGAGGCTTACTGATCTTTTCTAAGAACCAGATTTTGATTTCATTGATTTTCTCTATTGATTTGTTTTCAATTTTATTGATTTTTGCTCCAATTTTTATTATTTCTTTTTCTCCTGCTTACTTGGATTTAATTTATCATGTATTTTTAGTTTCCTACGATGGAAACTTAGATGATTCAGCAGTTCTCAACCTGTGGGTCGCGACCCCTTTGGCGGTCGAACGACCCTTTCACAGGGGTCGCCTAAGACCATCCTGCATATCAGATATTTACATTACGATTCATAACAGTAGCAACATTACAGTTATGAAGTAGCAACAAAAATAATTTTATGGTTGGGTCACAACATGAGGAACTGTATTTAAAGGGCCAGAAGGTTGAGAACCACTGATTTAGATGAACATTCATCTTGGTGAATGTCCCATGTGAGCTTGAGAAGAATGTGTATTATTATATTGTTGAATGAAGTATTCTATAGATATCAATTATATCCAGTTAACTAATGGTGCTATTGAGTTCAACTATAGCCTTACTGACTTTCTGCCTGCTATATCTGTCCATTACTGACAGAAGGGTGATGAAGTCTCCAACTACAATAGTGAATTCATCTATTTCTCCTTGCAGTTCTATCAGTTTTGCTTTACATATATTGATGCTGTATTAGTTGCATACCATTACAGGTATAAGCCACATTTCCTTTATCCATTCATCTGTTGATGGACACTTGGGTTGCTTTCACTTTTTGGCTATTGTGAATAATGCTGCTATGAACATAGATGTGCAAAAATCTCTTTGAGACACTGCTTCCAACTCTTTTGGGTGTATATCTAGAAGTAGAATTGCTGGGCCAAATGGTAATTCTATTTTTAATTTTTTGAGGAATCTCCATACTGTTTTCCACAGTAGCTGTACCATCTTACATTCCAACAGAAGTGCACAAGGGTTTCAATTTCTCTACATCCTCACCAGCAGTTGTTTTCTGTGTTGTTGTTTTAAATAAATTTTGTAAAAATATATTTTTATTTCAGAGAGGAAGGGAGAGGGAGAGAGAGAAAGAAACATCAATGATGAGTGAGAATCATTGATTGGCTGCCTTCTGCACGCCCCCTACTGGGGATTGAGCTCATAGTCCAGGCATGTGCCCTTGACTGGAATCGAACCTGGTTAACCTTCCAACCACAGGCCGACGCTCTATCCACTGAGCCAAACCAGCTAGGGCTGTGTGTTTTTTTGTTTGTTTGTTTGTTTGTTTTTTGTTGTTGTTTTTAAGTAGTCATCTTAATGGGTGTTAGGTGGGATGTCATTGTAATTTTGATTTGCATTTTTGCATTTTTTAGTGATGCTGATCATATTTTCATATGTTTACTGGCCATTTGTATATTTCTTTGGAGAAATGTATATTTAAGTAATTTGCCCATCTTTTAAAAAAGAATAGTTTGTTGTTGTTGTTTTTTAGAGAGAAAGTAAGGGAGAGGGAGAGAGAAACCTCAATGTGAGAGCACAACACATGCAACTTTGATGGCTGCCTGCTACACACCCCCCATGGAGGGTTGAGCCTACAACCCGGGCATGTGTGCTGACCTGGAATCAAAGCAGCAACCTCCTGGTGCAAGGGAGGATGCTCAACCAACTGAGCCACACCAGGCTGGGCACTTTGTTAATTTTTAAATGGATTGTTTTTTGTTGAGTTTTAGGAGTTTCTTATATTCTTCATATTAACTTTTGGATATATATCTGGATATAAAGCAGGTATATGACTTGCAAATGTTTTCTTTCACTCTGTGGCTTGCCTTTTTACTCTGTTGATTGTTTCTTTTGATGCACAAAAGTTTTTAATTTTGATGTAGTCCAATTTATCTATTTATCACCTGTGTTTTTAGTGTCATATTCAAGAAATAATTGCCAAATCTGGTGTCATAAAACTTTTCCCATATGTTTTCTTCTAAGGGTTTTATAGTTTTATCTCTTACATTTTAGGTCTTCGATTATTTTGAGTTCATTTTTTGTACATGGTGTAAGATAAGGTCCAGCTTCATGCTTTTGCATGTGTATATCCAGTATTCCCAACACCATTTGTTAAAAAGGCTGTCCTTTCTCCATTAAATGGTTTTGGCACCTTGGTGAAATCACTTGATCATATATCTGAGGGTTTATTTCTGGGCTATTTCACTCCATTGGTCTTAAGTGTCTTTATGCCAGGACTACACAGTTTTGATTATTATAGTATTGTAATAACTTTGAAGGTTTGAAATCAGGAAGTGTGTGGCCTCCAACTTTGTTTTTCTTTTTACTTCATTGTTTTGGCTATTCAGTGATCCCTTGAGATTCCATATGATTTATAGGATGTATTTTTCTATTTCTGCAAAAAATGCTGTTGGGTTTTTGATAGAGTTTGCATTAAATGTGTAGATCACTTCAGGTAGTATTGACATCTTATCAATATTAAATCTTCCAATCCGCCAGACCGTTTTGGCCCAGTGGATAGAGCATCGGCCTGCGGACTCGGGTCCCAGGTTCGATTCCGGTCAAGGGCATGTACCTTGGTTGCGGGCACATCCCCACTGGGGGGCGTGCAGGAGGCAGCTGATCGATGTTTCTCTCTCATTGATGTTTCTGGCTCTCTATCCCTCTCCCTTCTTCTCTGTAAAAAATCAATAAAATATATATTTTTTAAAAATCTTCCAATCCATGTAAATGGGATATCTTTTCATTTATTTATGTCTCTTAATTTCTTTCATCAACATTTTATAGTTTTGGGGGTACAAATCTTTCATCTCCTTGCTTAAGTTTATTCCTAAGTATTATTTTTGATGCTATGATAGATAAAACTAGAGGCCCAGTGCACGAATTTGTGCATGGGTGGGGTCTGGCTAGCCCAGCCCCAATTGGGGCAGATAGGGGTGGGCCTGTGGGGAGGAGGACACAGTGAGAGGTTGGCCAGTGGCCTGCCCTGATCAGGCCTGATTGGGTCAGGCTGGCTTGGGGGAGGGGCCACAGGCAATTGGCCAGCAGGCCCCGCCCACAATTGGGGTGGGAGGGCCGATTGGGGGAGGGACCGGCTGTGGGGATGGGCTGTGGGTGGTGGGCCAGCTGGCTCCACCCCCAAATGGGGTTGTGGGCCAATCAGGGGTCAGCATCTAGGGAAGGGGCCATGGAAGGTTGGCCGGCCAGCCCCACCCCCGATTGGTGTGGGGGCGTGGCGATCGGGGTGGAGCTGGCTGGGGGGAGGGGCCACTGGCCAATCGGGGTGGGGGGG